TCCTAAGTATTTGGTTTCATATGCATGTACTTGTTTTATAATTGATATATAATTACATAGGATAGGTTTTACCTTAGTTATTGAGTAGCTAGATTCACCTCTTTCATTTAATACTTTTCAGGCTCTAGCTCTGGTGTAAAGAGGGAGAAGGCTCAAGAGGTTAGGAATTAACACATTCCTATAATATGCCTTTAGCTTAGATTTATTTGTGTAATAAAATTTGAATGCCAATTCTAGGTTGCATGCCATCTCACTTGCACTATTTTGTTGTTGCAAATGTCTGATTTATATTTTGGGTCCTGAGTATTTGTGTATGTTGAGATATATATATATATATATTAAGGCTAAAAATACTAGTGCAAGCATAAAAATAGATATTTGAACATGTTTTGATTGATTTGGATACAATGCAATGACAAATTGCCTCTCTATTTTTGGTAAAAAGGGGTTAAGGAGTGAATTTTGGTAGTACTGTGGTTTAAGTGTGTGTGATATGTTGTACTGGTAGTCTTAAGTCTAATGGACATGATCCAAGTGTTAGGAAAGGCTTTTACGATACGTTGAGGTTTTGGACACCCATTTTGAGTAAAAGTTGTAAAAAGTAGTTAAAATGTATTTGGGTGTCCAACTTCCTAGTGTGACTTGTTTTAGAAGTGAAACCTGTGCCATTAGCTAGTTCATGTAAAGAGTTTTTCATAAACACCTAGATCACGTCATTCGGACGTCAAATAGAAAATCGGGACGTATTGAAAGTTCCTCGATTATGCTATTAAATGACAGCAGAATCTGTTGAATTTTTGTGTAACATGCCATTGTGCATGGCATAAAAAGCAACACACCATGATGCAATGTGCACAAGCTGTGGCGCATTTCCCTGTATCACAGCACATGTTTTATTTTTCAACTATTTTCGAATTCTTTCACTCTTCTAAGGTATCCCATACTTCCGTAACTTGTTTTTACTCTAATATAAGGGTTTATGATTGTTATAAACTTATTTTGATTATGAAAACTTAGGATCCCTTGGATTTAAACTAAAACTTAGTAATTACTCTTGGACTTAATCCTTTAATTACCATGAGTTTAACTGGTTAATGATGTTTAGTGGAGTGAGATATAACAAATGTCATCATCAATGTCCTTATGAATGAAGTCCTCTAAAATATCTACCGGTCTTAATAAATTGTTGTCAGATTCTATAATGGAAGAATCATTGAATTGAGTTTCTGAAACAAAGCTTTGACTATTTTCTAGGTTAGGAGGCTTTCTCTGATCAATGAGAGGATTGGAAATAATTGGAGAAACTTGTTGAGAGTTTCCTAAATCATTCATGGCTACATTCTAGATGCTAAGATTAGGGGAGAATTGAGCTTTAGCTTTGATTTTATGTGTCATGAGATTTAATGGTAGGCCGAGTAGCATTTATGTTTTAGACTTATCTAAAGAGCCCAAATTTCTCTTATTTCCTTTGACAATACTATGAATTCTTTTTGTGGGCCTATTCTGCACGTTATTAGATTGTAGCTCCTTGGACTCTTTTTTGTCCAAGTTTATGGTTTTTAAGCCTTCATAATTAAAAGATGACCCAATCCTTATAACCCTTTTCCCTTTCTCTTGTACGCTTAGATCAGAGTCCCTAGGAGAGTCGACTGTTACCTTTTATTCCCTAGGTCTTGCCCTTTTCACATCTGTCATCTCTTTCTTTCTCCACACTTGTCTAACAACCTTTGTAGGGCAATCTTAGCTTAGTCATTTCTTAAAGGTAACTCAACTCTTCTCTAATCTTCTTTCTCACGATCTAGGGTGGCTAGGACGTCGAATCTTGTCCTAGTTGAGAGGTTAGGTCCTCAATTCTAGTGAGATGGTTTATTGTCCATTGTGTATCTCAAGTTTTATGCATTTCTTGGCCATCTGAATCCCATGAACTCATTGAACTCTTCCTTTGGTAAGTTCTAATTTTTTTCCTAATGGACCCAGATGCTGATTGCTTCTATCTGCTATTTCTTCTTGTTCTTTCATTGGATTGTCATTGTTATTATGGTCATCTGCTTTGTATTTCATTGAATTTGGTTCATTCGTGGTTCTATTTTTAGGGTTTAGGGGCAATTGTTTTTGTTGTGTCCATAGCATCCAGAACCAAAACAATGAGGTTCAAGCTTTCATATTCTATGTTGTACAATTCATGTCTGATAAGGAGTCCTAGTATAAGTTTTTTTTAAGATCCACTTACACATTAAGGATGCTTTATCAAACATCACATTATGTGAGACATGACAATGCCCTATCATCATATCACAACACCTCCATCCTTTCCATTCATTATCATAGCCCACGAATATACAACATATGGCCTTTTTCTCAAACTTGCTTTGCTATTGTTTAGGAACGAACACATAACACATACTTTTGAATACTAAAAAATGACTCACTGTGGGCTTAGTCTTTTATAACTTCTCATATGGTGATTTGGATTTGAGTCTTGCTTAAAGTAGTCTATTAGTCACATAGACAACCGTCTTCATGCACTGTGGCCAGAATCTTGGAGGTAAATTCCTAGCATGAAGCATGCTCTTACACGTCTCTGCCAAATGTCGATTCTTCTTTTAATGACTCCATTTTGTTATAGTGTGTACGGACACATCAACTAACATTATATCTTATTCTCTCTTATAAAGTTGTAGAACTCATATGAGGTATTGTCACGCCCAACAATATGGGAGTGACTGGCATAGGATATGCATCAAAGCACACATCCTTTAAGCCTAATTCAAGAAATGTTTTATTTTAAAAATACTTTTCTTTTAAATAAAGCCTTAATATTTTTGTAAAAATTCTGATAAAATCTCCCCCGAGAATGGAATCTCCTAAAATTTTATAACGCAATAATTTTACATAGAATATAATATCAATCAGGAGCTTAGCTCCTTCCAACTAGCAAATAACATATATTAAATTAGAAACCTAACTATAAGCTACATGGAGCAACTAACCTTACTACGAAAACAAAATACGTGAGTTCAGATATTGATATTAAAAGGAGATAATGCTAGGCAAAACTCCACCTAAAACAGATGTATGCCCTTCAAAGTAAGCAGTACGATTATAGTCAACTAATAAATTTGAAACCAAAATAATTTCCAATGAATAACGTCCCAATGATAAATAATTAAATATAAATAAAAGAAAAGTTAAAAAAAATAATGTAAGTTAAAAAGACAGCGATCTCCATAAAGATTCAAATAAATGTAGAATAAAAGGATTCTATATAACTTTAAATGAAATCTTGAACCATTAAATTATCATATCAAATATTGTTATAACTTAATTTCAAGGAAGCAAATAAAATAAAATAAATAATTAAAAATATATTGCTAATTAAAACCAATGGGATATGAAATTATTAAATAATTAAATTCATATTTATAGGGACTTATTAGAATAATTAATAAACGTGGACACACAATCCACGAGGGCAAATAACCAAACGCGGCTTATGCCACGAAAATAAATGTGGACACACAGTCCATAAAGGTAAGTAACCAAACACAGCCGAAGCCACGAAACAAACGTGGACACGTAGGCCATGAAACAAATGTGGACACACAATCCACGAGGGTAATACAAACCAAACGCGGCCAGAGCCACGAAACAAACGTGAGTACTATACTCATGAATAACCATCCCTCCGTTCCATGTGCGTTGGTCATTGCACGAGGTTAGCACCTCCTATAAACACCTTGCTAGCTAGGTGTACCATGGCACGCCAAGGGCTAACGGAACTGCCGTTAGCAACTAGTGTTCTGTATAAAGTTTCTTTTTAAAATTATTTTCAAACATGCGAGAAATTGATCACTATTCAATCAAATTTTCCTTTCAATGTCGAACTCGCATGAATGTTTTCCGTAACAATTCAATAATTTCTAAAATGAAATCCCACAATTAGAATTCAAACTTGTATTTATTAATTAACTAAAATGATCAATTCTGATAAAATAATTTCACAAAATAAAGTAGTAATTTAATCAACAAAAATATCTCATAATTATATTGTTGTCGTAAAAAGAATTGCATAAAAATGTAATATTTGAATAAAGGAGATTTTAATAAAGTATCAGTTGGGACGCTATTCACTTACCTATCATTTTTAGAATTCAAATTTCTCCTCTAACTTTAATCAAATTTCTGCTCTTCCCAACTCCCTATAAATCATTAAGATTTTATTCAATGCTCAACCATCACAATAATTCCTTTTCCAACCTCACTCACTACCAATATAAACTATAATACATTTGAAACTTTTGAAAAAAAAAACTCACTAGCACTTAGTCAAGGCCACCAAACATACATCATTTCCAATCTGCTCATAAAATACTAGCATTCGATATTTCATCAACAATTATCCATCTTCGACAACTCAAAAATCACATTATTAATTTCAGAGGCAAATATTCTTTTCTAATCCCTTCATAACCACTCTAGTATTAAATATTTTCTTAAAAAAACTATCGGTCTCCAAGAATTCTAATAGTTATACATATTTTAAATTTCATAGTCAAATATCCTTTGCAACATCCAAATTAAAATTCATACTGCCCACAAGAATCAATGAAACTCCATGAATATTCAAAAATCAACTTTAATTTCTTCTAACAAGTACTTCAACGTCCATACTATAGTCATCATTCCTCAAGTTACATATCTCATGTTTTTTTTAAACTTAATCCTAACCAAATCTTCACTATCAACCAATTTAAACAAAATGAATTTAACTCAAAAATTAGCCTATACACACACACACACACACACACACACACACACACACACACACATCCTTGTCAAGTTTTAAGATAATTTCCAACTGAATATTGAATTTCCTCCTCTCTACAACAATACGGCAATAGCAGAACATCCACAAAGAAAATCTGTAACCTCACACACAAAAACATAACATACTTATACTCACAGCAAAATCAATAATGAAAATGTTTGAATCCCCTCACCTCAACCAAGCGACATGAACAAAGAAAAAGGAGGTGATAATCGACGCTGCAGCAGGTAAAAGAATGAGATCCGATTGACTTCCTTACAGCAACAAGAACAGAGGAGGGAGAAGCAGCATCATTAACCAAGAACAAAGTGGAAAACCATCAAAAGTGGCACAAGGAAAGACGGACCATAATCTGTACCTCAACACAGTGGCACACAGTGAGCTAGAAGAAAGGAAAATGGAGAGGTTTAGCTGACGTTCAGCGACAAGAAAATGAGCTCCACCTTCAGCTAGCTGTGAACAAATCGACCATAAATGCTCACACCGGCGATGATCGAAAACAGAAAAGGAAGGAAGTGAAAAGCATAGAAGAGGAGCGAAAGAATGAAACCTGAAGCAGAGCACTTCTCTCTCTCTTGACAGATCTAGAATAATCAAAGAAGGGGCTGGAAATTTTTTTATCAGATGCAAGAGGGGCAGTTTGGTAATTTTATACACGAAAAGCATAAAAATGAGATTTCCTAGTCTTCATCAAACTCGAACACGGGACCTGATGCCTAAAACTTATGCCATCTACCACTATACTCCTTCTTATCATAGTAATTCTAAAACTAATATAATTACCATTAAAATGTAAACTTATATATATTTGCATTTTTAAATTTTTTCTTGAATTCCTAGGTTATTATAGGTATACTCTCTAAAACACTCTGATAGCAAGTTGAAATATCCTCAGAAAACTAAACACTATTAATAATTCAAATCAATAGTAACCAAGAGATTAACCCTTAAGGAGATTACCAAGTTATAATTTCAAAATAAAGGGATTTTAAGTTTTCATAACTTCAAATAAGTAAAAACTAACCATTAATTCTTAAATTAGAGTAAAATTAAGTTACGGCAATATAGGATACCTTAGAGGAGTGAAAGAAATTGAAAATAGTTGAAAACATCAAGTTTGCTAAAAAACAAAGTAATGTGCCGCAACTTATGCACTCTACCTCATGGCTTGTTACTCTTTGTGCCATGTACCACAGCTTAGGCGCCAATGCACTGTGGCATGTTGCATGTGTTCATGATAGCAGATTCTACTATCAAATGGCAGTAAAATCGAACAACTTTTGACACACCTTAAATTTCTGTTTGATATCTGAATGACATTATCTAGATATCTACGAAAAACTCTTTTCATAAATTAGCTGATGGCATGGGTTTCTTTTCCAAAAAATATCACACCAATAAGTTAGAAACACATTTTTATCACTTTTCACATCTTTCACACATAAAAGGGTGTCCAAAACTCAAAATAAGTGCCAAAAGTTATTCCTAACACCTAGACCATATTCATTAGACCTAGGATTACTAGTATAACACACCACATGCACTCAAATACTAAATAACACAAAATCACTCCTTAACCCCTTTAATATCAAAAACAAAAAAGGGAGGTAATTCCATTGCATTATATCAAAAATCAATCACATCATGCTTAAAACAATTTTACTATACTTGCACTAATATTTTGACCCTATTAATATATAAAACTTATCATACACAACTACTCAGGGCCTAAAATACAACTCAGACACTTTAAACAACTTTATAGTACAAGTATAAACAAAATACATCCTAGAATTGGCAATGAAATTCTATACACAAAATAAACAATACCCAGAGGCCTACACTAGGAATGCACAAATTTCTAAGTCTCTGGAGCGTCATCCCTCTTTGCACTAGAGTTAGAGCTTGCAAAATGTTAAAAGAAAAGGGTGAGTCTAGCCACTCGATAACTAAGGTAAACTTATCCTATGTAGTTGTATATCAATTGAAACAAACACATAAGCATTAAAAGTGGATTTTTCTTAAAGCACGCCTTAACACATAATTTTACATAGATCACAACACATCATATCTTAATCAATTCTTTTCTATTTGCTCACATGGTACATAACCACAAGATACTTAGACATATGACTATGACCTAATATATTGACACGACTAATATAAGTCAACCACGTGATACATTATATAATCACATAGGCAATGATCAACCATTCTTATACCATCCTTATTTCCTCCAATTAAAACCATGGGCTATAACACCGAATAAGGTTCCATCCATGTAACTCAACTATCTAAACTCATCAATCATAAGGTATGACCTGGCTAAAGATGACATGACTCACTCTTTAGACTATGGCTTCCCTCACTCTCAAATCTCCAGGGTGTCATATACCCTAAACTAATCTCCTCAATAAATTGGTAAAGTTAGCTGGGTTCTAGTTCTTTGACAAACTATGGGATAGTCTCTCGATTAATTATGGGATAAGGCTATACCCCTGTGCACTAGATGGCAGTCAAAATACCATATGAATTTTAACTACTCCCATTCTCAAGTAAACTCCTGCCTACTAATCATGCCATGTACGATGCCTACTATTTTCACAATCTTATTATTCATTATTAACATGTTAGGCTCACATAAATTCATTATCCAAGTGAGCATCCAAATCATTTTCACATATACCATATACATCCATCCATGCACATTTATCCCATCATACACATAACATATCCTCATCTCAAATCATATACATATTCAAAGTTCGAAAACTTATTTGGCTTTAATCTCATATTTCAAATCAATTATAATATTATGCATATTCATATCTCAAACACTTGTTAAGACTAATAACATGCTTTCACATCAAAAATCAATTCATGCATGTAACATTCATAATTCACAACCACCAATCAATTAGCATACAACTATTTAAAGTAAGATTTTCTCAGTTACCTCAAACCTTTGAGAGATCAAAAGTTTACTCCTCAATATTAAGCTTCCAAACTTGACTTCTTAAGCTAAAATGGTATTCAAGAACTCAATCTACAATTAACTAAGTTAAACTTCATCAACAATATCAAACACACACATTTCAACTTTAATTTCCACACCTAGATTTCTAATGCCTACATTGTTTATGTTTGGGGCTACCCATTAGGTTATTAACTCTTCTTAATCTCCAATAACATTAATGAGCCATTAAATTCTCATTAATGACATTTCAACTCTTCCAACAACCCTTATAATTAAAATTTTTGAATATTAATAAGGTTCAACAACTAAAAATCCTAAAACTTATTATTTCTAGGTTTAAATACTCCAATCTAATCCTATTAACTCTATTTGAGTTAATAGATTCAGACTCATAACTTATATAGACTGAAAATCATCTCCTACTATCAAGCCTTAATCAAAAACTTCATAAATGTGGAAGAGATAGGAGTTAAGGCACTTTCCTTAAGTGTTTCTAGCTTTAAAATATTCCTAATATCATCCAAGAACAAACCCTAGCAGAGCTCGAGTCGCTTGTTCTCATTTTCTCCTTCTTTATCTCTAATTCTTGTCTCAATTTGTAGTTAATATTCAATGAAAAAGGGCTGTGTTTTGCAACGCATGGCATAGAAAGGTCTCCTCTTACTTTAGTTGTTGTGGCATAGAAATACTTCATCTTTATTTTCTTCTTCTTTCAATGCTCAGGTGTCACACCGAACCCATAATTATAGTTGAGACACAACCAAAATCAATCATTAGACCTCCTTAGCCACATCATGTCAATTTACTCAATTATCATAACTAAACTTAGTTAATCCAAGGATTAAAATTTAGAATGTTACACTCTCCCTAGTTGTTAGTCCGTAGGCACTAAACTTTTTGCCTTGTCTTACTTTTCACAATTTTCTTGGATTTTTTGAACTTCTCTAAAGCTTCAGATTTTTCTTTCATAAAGAAGGCCCATACATATTTAGAATAATCATTGATGAAAGTAATCATGTAGCAATAACTTTCCAAGCCTAAAGTAGTACCCAAATGATTAATCTATAATTAATTATGTCTAACTCATTTAACAATACTAAAGACACATGTCTAACTCTCACACTTTCATTCTAAATATCAATGCTTTACTTCTCACATAGGCCTACCCATTAGGTTTATTAACTTTGTTTAGCTTCTAATAACTTCATCAAACTCTTGTAGTGTCATTAATGGCTCAACAACCTTCATAATTTTGGATTTAATGCTCATTTCCAAACATTAATGGTTCCCAACTACCATTAATGTCTAAACCTATGATTTATAGGTTTAAATACTCAAAACAACTCCTATCAACTTGTGTGATATACTAGCTATTGTATATTCTCACTTACACACATATGGAAGTAATAAATGAATAATTCTCATTATAACTAAAATATTGCATTAAATTTTCCTTTTCACAATCTAGACATACCAAGAGCCTTTACATGTTTTTGAATATTTCCTTAGTTATGGGTTTTGTTAAGGGATCTTCTATCATACACTTCATAGAAATGTATTGTATAGCGACAACTTTTTTGCTATATAATCCCTTATAAAATTGTATTTGATGTCTATATGTTTGGTTTTGCTACGGTACTTAGGATTTTTGGTGTAGGCTATAGCTGCAATGTTGTTATAATGAATTAATACTTGATTTGTACTTTAATTTCTAAACTTGAGATGTTCTGAAAATCTCTTAAGCCATATAGCCTCTTGCACCGCTACAAAATAAGCTACAAACTTAGTGTCCATAAAGTGTAAAGCAATGTATGTCTGCTTCTTGCTACTCTAATAAATGACCCCATTGTTCAGTAAGAAAGTATAGCTAAAAGTAAATCTTCATTCATTTTTACCTTTGCCCAAATCTACATTGGATTATCTTATTAGGCATAGATTACTTCCTTTGTAACAAGGTGCATAATCAACAATACCCTTCAAGTACCTCCAAATCCTCATCATAGCGTTCTAATGTTCTTTATAGTAGTTGGACTGTTAGCGACTTACAAGTCCTACCACATAGCAGATGTCTAGTCTTGTACAAATCATTGCATAAATCAAACTTCCAATTGTGTTGGCATATGGAACTATTTCTATATTCTTTTTGGCTATCTCAATTTTGAGACCCATATCAAGACTAAGCTTCACACTTGAACTACTGGGGTATCTATGGGTTTAGAGTCTTCCATATTAAAATGCTTAGGAATTTTCATTATATCATTCTCACATGAAAGAGAAAAGACTTTCTTAGAATGATTTCTTTAGATTTTAACTCTAAGAATGTATTCTACTTTACCCATGTCCTTCATTTCAAAATTCAATGAAAGATATTCTTTAATAGTGGTCATCAAATCTAGACTATTTCTAGCCAATAGAATATCATCCATATATAGGAATAATATTATAAAGTTCCTTTTAAACCTTTTGAACCTCTTCATGTAAACACAATGGTCTTCCTTAATCATTTAATAAACATATGAGGTTATCGCTCTGTGAAACCTCAAATACTATTGTTTGGATGATTGTTTTAATTCATAAATTGATCTATTTAATCAACAAACTTTATTTTCTTTTCTTTTTTAATGAAAC